AACGTGTTAACAAAAAAGGTCTTATTTGGAATAAAATTGTTCGCGACGAACGGTAGAACGAAAAAGAGATGGGACGAGAAACGAAGAGGAAGGTGGGAAACGGATACGAAAACGGCGTCGGTCTCGGTTGTTTCAGTGGTGGCTACAGGATAGAAGCAGGTTGGTGCGCTGGGTGGTTCTTCTGGAACGACGCCAGGCGTCCGCCGAATTTAGCACCGCGACGCTGACTAACTCGCGTGGCATTCATTCAATCGCCGACCAAAAAGCCCCCGCTGCCTGCATAGTCGAGGTTCGTCGAGAGAACGACGGGGGCCCGTTCACGTTGCACTTGCCCAGAAAACCACAGTTTCCATTACCTTCCCCCCTTTTTCCAAGCCCATTGGCGCCGATACCAAACGCCCCGCCCGTTGTACAGCTGCTCGCGAACACGCAGCCAACAGATTTATGGATCGCTTTCGCACGTCCACTGACAGTCGAGAAGCCTGCAAAATTTCCATCGGGTTTAAAAAGAATTTTTAAGTGTTTAGACTGTCTAGAAGGTTCCACGGACGATTTAAATGGGAAGGCAAATTTCTGAGGGGTTTATTATTTCGATTTTTGAATAAATTATGGAACTAGAATAGAATGTGTTGTTTTCTTGTAGAGGGAACGTGAACAATGGGGACATGTCGGTTTGCTAGAAGAATGACATAACTGAGAAAATGACAGTTTTTACGAAATCGGTTTGAAATATTTTGTGGCAGAAAATAATTATTTACTCGATCATTTAACAATGAGAAATTTTATTTTCTTCTTCAATTTTGGCGATAGTCTTTGGGTTTTGAATCCATTAGCTTTCCGAGGGTTAACAAGGGTGTTACAACAAAAAATATTGTACATGTACATACATATATATTTCCTTGTCTTTACTTTGCAAATGTGATTGCAACAATACTAAAAGTAATGTGCCTTGGAGAAAACCTGGAGAAAATTCCAAGAATGTGTCGACAATGATAGCGAACAAGTGAAAACTCTTTAAAAACAACATACACAGTGTGTTACCAGTTCTGTTTCCCTAAAGAAGTTACTTCTATATAAGTGTTAACACTTCTTTTTACGCGCTCTGTGTATGGAAGCTACACGAAAACACTTCTATTTTTGGACTAATTCCCGCGAACCTTCTTATTATCAGTGTTGATCAAGGGATCGCGATGAAATCTCTCGCGTGCTTGCTCATCCGTTTCGCTTCCCGAAACATCCGTGGTCCCCGATGACCAGAGTTCGAGGAAATTTCACTCAGCCCGCAAGCAAAAAGTCCGCGTGTCCCGATGAATCGTGTCTACCATCTTCACGCTCTTTCTTAGCGTATCTTCGTTTTTTCTACCACGCCAGGCGAGTCCAAAGGAGGACGAAAGTTCTTCGGTCCGGCGGCAGCTAATGAACATAGGACGCGTGCCGTCAATCCCAGAAAATCTGTCTACCAACGGTGCCGTCGTCTCGCACCGAAATAGTGTAATCTGTTTTATTTCGTTTCGGTTTGTTTTGTTCCCGTTGACGAACGCAATTAATCACTGTGCTCGGTTATAATGTCCACTTAGAAATTTTGCTACTGATTTGTGCAGATGGCCAAAACAATTTTGAAGCTCCCTTGATACATCTTTCTAATGAATAATTGCAAAAAAATGTGTTTCAAAATGTTTCTTTAGAAATTCATATACAGGGTGATAAAAAAAGGGTTCATAACTTTTAAGGTAGATAGTACTCGCCAAAGGATAAAAGAAAGTCCTAATAAACATGGAACAAAAAATTAATATTTTCAAAGTTATAAAGAATTTTTTGTTTCGGTTAAATGGTTTATAAGAACTTATTAAGTACAGTGAACGATTAAATGAAACTCCCTGTGTTGATATAATATTATTATTTTCATTGTTGCATGAGTCTTACTTCGGACCTTGATCCTATGACTATATTATTCCAGTCTACGTCTCGATGGTCACTGCTGACCAACACTGAGCTTTCCATTTAAAATAAGCAACTTAGGGTGAAGTCGGCTGAAAGCTCGATAATGACTGGATCAATATTGTATTGTTTTTTTCATGCAATACTTTGTCGATTTTTCCAGAAACAATCACAAGAACTACCAATGATAAACGTATATCTATTTCTATCGGAACTTTAAAAAATATACAAATTTACAAATTAACTCATTCATTCGCTTACATATTGCAATAAAAGTTGTAGAAGATTTGAAAGAACCCATTGTCGTAACATTTTACTCATCGTTATAAAAGTATACTAATCAGTCATTTTGACTGCTTTGGTAATTCTAGTATTAATATAATATAGACTTTATTCTTATGATTGTTATACCGAACCCTCTTTACTCATTATTCTGGTAACAGTATTCATATTTCATTGGTCCTTTATTTTCCCTCTATTAGACCTTTCAAGAGCTAATTTACTTTTATTTTTTATATAATGTATTATATTAATGAGTGATTTAGATTCGTGAAATATTCAAACACTATAATAGTATTTGTAATATTCAGGTATCAATATATCAAACCATTAATACGTAAAGTGATCTTACTGAAGTGATCTATATCAAAGTGATCTATATTAAACTGATATTAGTATTTCATCGCCGTTACTCCGAAACGGAGTGTTCAGAGTTCGTGTATATGAATCACGGGTGGTACCGACAATTCCTACGGATAACCCAATACGTATCGAGCCGTCCTCCACGTGTTTCGACCCACGTCAAAGAAAAAATAAATTTTCGTAACGCCTTCTGACAAACACCGCCTAACAAGAGAAACCTGAAATAATTTTCCAGCTTAAAAGCGCCCGAACGCGACCTATGCCTTTGAATTCACTCGTAGAGGAACCAGGAATCGAGTAGACCTTCGTTTCGTCCGGTCACATTAACGCTTTATTGACAGGTATAGTATATTCTGTACTTTTGTACAATAAAAAATGTGTCTAATACACTAATAAATATATTTCTAATAAACGAACTTAAAGAAAGAAAAGAAAATATTAAAGAATCTGTTAAAAAGAAATCCTTATTTCAACAATTGCCGTTGAATATGCTAGAAAAATGTTAGTTTTAATAAACTAATTCTTCTTTAAATAATATTTAGGACACACGAGTAAATTTCAGAAGATCCATTAAAAAATATCAATGATGTACATATTACTTATTGAGCAGATTTCTGATAAACGACTATGGCCTCCAAATGGCCAACGATAAAGGATGAAGCGGCTGTATAATTGTCTGGCATTAATTTTTACTTTCTTTTTATATTCAAAGTTTATCTCAAACTTTCTCAGCTTTCTTCAACATTTGCTTGACTCTTTTTATAAAGTGCCCTGCCATTGCGCCTTAAAATGAATCCAAGGTTCCAATGCGTTCCGAAAAGCTCGATATCAATACTGCCGACATTTTGGTAACCGTTGACAATGGCGAACGCATATCTTTCTTTAGTCAGCATGGAAAGTTTTGTTGTCAATCTTCGACCTTCCAAACCGAGGATCGTCTTCAAGGTCCCAAGCCTCTGTTCTTATATTTAGCGAATCACCTTTGAAGTGTACATTCATTTACAGTATCTCTTTGTGGGACTCGAGGAGGGTGAGATGATTACAGGAAGTAATTAAGTAGTGATTCTCAGAAAAGATGCTTTCCAAAATATTTAGAGGGTCACCTATTTTTTAGTGACACACATTTACATATACATTACGTATACATAGAATCCATAAAATCGTTACTAGTTTGTAATCACTTTTCGTTTCGTTAGTATTTCATCAAGTTCTAATTTCTTTATTTTTCTGTAATTCTCTATTTTTAATTTTATATTCTGGTTCAATCTTGACAAGCATAACGTAATTCTTCTGAATAGGATAGTATTGATAAGAAATATTCATATGAATATTCCAATAAATTAAATACGAATTTACCAATTCATATTCCCACCCAATTCAAGAGAACAATTAGCAGAGATTACAGTACACTGAAATGTCTACAAAAATAAACTGAACCTTTAAACTCGAAGTGTATGTACATTCCAGGTATCTGCTTGTCAATTTAAAAAGTATCATATATTGTAATCATACAACTAAACTACAAGTTAGTAAATAACTAGAAAGTTTATTTTACTACCACATTTGGCCTTGCATGATCTTCAATGATAGCTCGCTGAAGTCGTCTCAACACCAGCTATCACATCGCGATAAAAAAAACAAGTGGACATAATTATTGATCCACCCAGCTTGCCAATCTCAGATAAAAAAGTTGTAAAAAACGACCATTACTATTTTCTTCGCGATTCCGACCAATTGCAAGTTTTTAAAAAGTTTTTTACACATCATTTAGTAAACTAATCTTCACAAAAAACTGAAGTCGCTTGGACCAATTTTAAAACAGTTGTTTTGTCTTGAAGGGTGTACGAAGAGTTTTTCTACCCACTGTATTTACTCCCATTGTATGGCAAATAAATCTCTTACAAGATCTGAATGCTTCAAATAAAAAAGAAAAAAGAACAAAGACAATATCATCGTCTCCAACATAATGATCCCATCGATCCCTCCGTCCACGCCGTGTGTCGGCCAGAGCACGCAGCGCAACATAGATCTCTCCCGTGTAAGTACAGAGGAATGGAAAAAGCAACATGCACACGGTGGTCGTCGCACACTTCGCCACCACGGCAAACAGAAGCGGCCGACACGACACCCTTCCGAGCGCGTGCAGCGCGCGGCGGCAGCTGAAGAAGAAGAAGAAGAAGAAGAAAATGGAGGCAGACGGGCGGATGGAGGGCGAGGGAGGCTGCGCTCCTATATGTAGCCCCGAATCTTAGCCGGAGCAACTATTACGCCCGAAATCCTCGAGGCGTACACACCCCTGTGTTGGCTCGACCACAGTACGGGGTAACGGTTCGCTATCCGTCGCGAGAATCTCTTCTTTTTTTTTTTTATTTATTTATTCACAACAAACGATTCTTCAACAAAAACAGCCCCTCCGCGTAGTTTTACCGTCAAGATCGACAATTTACACCTGGACCGTCTCAGTGCTCGTGTGTGTACATACAGTGGGATTTGGTAACCGCGGTATGATTTGTGTGATTGGTGGAGGAATATAGAGAGATCGAGAGGAATACGAAAGAAAAATGCCGAGGGCCTTTCTGATCACGCATCGCCGGTACAACGGGATCGAGGAGGAGTTCGACGGGTCCGGAAGAGGTACGTTGTTCGGTTTCGTTGATTGCGCTACCGCGGCCTGGTGCCAGAGATTTTTTTTCTCCCAGATCTTCCGCGTTCTAGCCACATTTTAAAAATAAGTCAAAACACAGAGACTCGATAAGTGTTCGACGACACGTCGGTACTGAACATTAAATATTTCATAAACTAATGATCATATACGGCCGAAATAAATATCATTCACTTCAGAATTGCAAACTCTATCGCTATGATAAACCGCGTTAAAAAATCAGCGTTACACCTGGGGACGTCTCCTTGCCAGTGCCGAGGAGCCCTCGAACATTTATCGAAGATTTACTGTAATGTTACCGCGGAAAAGACAAGCTTTCGGTGGACAGGACCGAAGAGAGCTAACTGAAGAATTTTCACATCGAGAATCGAAGGTCACCGTGTGTAATGGTAACGAGCGCATCGTAAGCGATGACTACGATCGGTAGATCGGTTCGCCAAGGTGTTCCCCGTTGATCACACCGTCGTTCGAAAGCTCCGCGAGGGATGGAGGGAGGACATTCGGTCCTCTGGTCGTTGCTTCGTGATTTAAGGTGGGCAGATCGCCGGGGGTTTTAAGAATAGGAGACGCTAGATGCGTCACGAGGCTCACACGGCGCATACCGTCGCGATGCCGTCAACCCCACCAAAGCTTGGCGAACGCTTCGCGACGTGTTAAAAGCTCAAGCACGCGCACCGGTACTCGTACAGTGTATATGTGTACACAGAAATACGCGGAAAATACGATTGGTGGAACGGAGAGAGAAAACGATCTGCAGAAGGGAGAGGAAGAGATACTCTATTTCCGTTCTCCCCGAAAACAGAACAGGCGGTAGACTCGCGAAGGTGCTCCGCGAACCACCTCGATACACGGCTCAAAGCCGTAACCACGGATTTTGTTTTATTAACCCTAGAACTACCAAATCTTGTACGAGTGATTGAAACGGTGCATTTTACGAAATTTATCGGAACTTCTATTAGAATATGTAAATAGTGAAATTAATTAAGTTACAAAAGTTGTGTAATTTTGTAAAACTGTCGTTTTTATCGATCTGATAGAAATAGGTACACGTCAATTGTGTCGGTAGTTCTAGTGTTACTATTGAAGGGGCGACAGAGCTTCTGTGCAACCAAAGAGACGCAGTTATTCTGACGAGTATTTTTTTTATGTTTGTTGATTATTGTTATTGTTCTTGGTATTGGTAGTCTGGCGTTCGAAGTCCTTGGAAGGTTTTATAGGGGAAAGGAATAATTAAGGTGCAGATGGATCATCCTCATCAAGCCAGTTCTACTGGTATCGAAAGTATCGTCGGTACGCTGGTTAAAGTTACAGTCACGCGAAGCATTTAGGAAACAGTGAGATTTGTCTTGTTATCATGCTGCGTCTGAATATTTCGAATTATGAAAATTTGTTCTTTTTTAATTGTAGGTAGAGGGTCGGTCATTGCGACACGGTGAAACATAAATCTTCTTCGTCTCTTTTATTCCTTAGTTTCTACATTGTCCGTACCATTGTTTATATATAAAAATAAGTGAACTTTGATAGCAAATTCAACTATTTGTATATTGTACGTACGTTGAAATATCACTGAAATGGTTAATGAATATCATTAATGTGATTTTAAATTGAAACTAGATCGAGAAACCCTTTAAAATCAAACTCTTCAAGAACCCTATATCTCACCAGGCACAACAAAGCCACCTGTCCGCTCAGAAAAGTGTCAATAAGCACAATCCGTTCCAACCAGATCGAAGTATCAATCAGAAACTTCCCTGTGCCCGATCACAAGAATCCTCTGGACGTTAGCCAGCCGCGTTCGAAAACCGTAGAACCGTCGCTAACGATGACAAACGATTCCACGTGCCGCAATTTGATCGTCTCGAAATTTCATAGAACGCAACAGCTTCTGGCGCTTACGGTCCGAGTGACAAATCACAGTCTCTCCTTGAATACGAAAACTCGTGCAACCGTCACCTAGCAGAAAGACCGTAAGTCTCTAATGATCGTTATCCTTTCCGTAGATTTCAGCCCTGAAAGAGGCGTCAGACTGGCCGATTACAGCGGGAATCATCCGACGTCGGACGGGGCGAGCGAATGCGGCAGCGAGACATCCTCGGAGTGCCCCGAGGAATTGTACAATCTGACGAAATTGGCGGAGGTCAGTCTAGCAGCAGCTGCGGGCACGTTGATCCATCCGAGCAACGTGATCTTTCAGCAACCAGCCTCCCCTAGATGCGCCCAATACACGGACAGGATCGTGGCGCCGCGATCGAAGCAACAGGAGTCTCAGTTCACGGATCATCGAACGATGGAGGATGAGCAAACATTGGGGGAGAGGACCAGGCTGTTCTTCGAGAGGATCGAGACCGAACGGGAGATTCTGCAGAGCCACACTGAGAGGAGCACAGTTCTGGGGATCCACGTGTCGCCTCATTCGCATCGTTTGCAAGAGGAACGACGTTTAGAGGTCTCGGACAATTCGTTGGACAAGACGGAATTGGACACCGGCTCGTCGATACCGTCAACGATACCGCAAAGCAGACGAACCACGTCGACCTCGACGGAAACCTCGTCGAAATCCGAGGACACGGAGGATCACGAGTGCCCGGATTGCGGGAAAAAGTACTCGACCTCGTCGAATTTGGCCAGACACAGGCAGACACATAGATCGTTGGGGGACAAGAAAGCCAGGAGGTGTCCACATTGCGACAAAGTATACGTCAGTATGCCCGCGTTCAGTATGCACGTCAGGACGCACAATCAGGGGTGCAAGTGCCATTACTGCGGCAAGTGCTTCTCGAGGCCGTGGCTGCTACAGGGACACATACGCACGCATACAGGTAAGAATTTGCGTTTTAATTATTTACTCGCAAGGGATGTTCGCGAAATGATAAACACCGATTTTTCTGTAACTTTGACTAATTGTTTATGGAAGCAACCTAAGAATTTTGCCGTACTTAGTTGGTGCCACTTTTAGACTTTAAGAGAGAAACCACCTTGTCTATCTGAAACGTCCCTTTTACTTATTTATTTGTTGAATTACATAAACATTACAAAAGATATCGAAAAAAAGTTTAGATAAATTTTATATCGTTTTTAGTTGTCCATGTATCGGTAAGAAAAATTTTCAAAAATGTTATTCTTCTACCCTACTACCTTTGTCAGTACTAGGTCCTCATATAAGTTTTCGTTTATTTTGAAATAATTTATTTTCGCTAAAATTCAATAATCTGATTTAAACTAGGCTGTATTATATTTAATGCAAATTTTTTCACTGTGATACAAGTATATTTACTTCATCTGTGTAAAAGTGTTGATGTTTGTAGTTAGAAAGCGACTGAAAGGTATTATTAATGTCTTATTGTTCTCTAAAACGTTCCCTTTTGAGGAAATTGATCAGAAAATGATTGAAGTGTACCCAAAGTAAATACACTTGCATCTTGATAACAAATGTGCATTGAACGTTATAGAAATGATTTTGATTAAAAGTGATGAATTTTGGCAGAGTTATGTTACTGTAATGTGAACAGTTCCGAAGTAGGGAAGCTATTTTCATCATATTCAGTGTTTACTTCGAAGGAAATAAAAAATCATATTTATAATTAAATTACATTGTCACCTCATTAGAAGGAATTAGTGATCACTCATTAGTACGTCCAGTACAATTGACGTAGGTATATCAAAAAGAAATTTTATTCACTCTTAATCCTCAGACACCACACTAGTGCGAATTTCCACCACCAAAACATTGTTTCTTCTGTTAGTTTTAAAATTTACCATTTCTTAATAACAAATTGTATACTTCAAAAATCATCTCTCATTGTTGCAATTATTACCATTGAATTCCTGGGGAAATCTTACTCTGAAAAATATAATATGAGTTCAATTTGCGTTTTATTCTCTTCAAGTTCTTAATCATCAAACATTCAAAATCCCAATTCGCAGTACTGTGGTATTTATGTATGCTGAGGTGAGGGGTGGTTTCTGAGGGTAAATACTGTCCTGATAATTCTTGTCCTGTAACATCCTTTCCAATGTAAAAATAGATCACAACGATGCAACACGTTTATGTGAACCTAAAAATTGCAATTGATAAACAACGAATGCGTAACGATGTTTCAAACAAAATTTTTAAAGTGACCAGAAAGTCATCCTACCAATGCTGTTTCACGACTCTTTTAGTCTAATCGGTATTCCTTCTTTCATTTCAGGTGAGAAACCATTTAAATGTACGATTTGCAACAAAGCGTTCGCCGACAAATCGAACCTGCGTGCCCACATCCAAACGCATTCGAACACCAAACCTCACGTTTGCGGCCGTTGCGGCAAGGCATTCGCGCTGAAATCGTACCTCTACAAGCACGAGGAGTCTTCCTGTATGCGCGCGCATCATCGATCATCCGGGGAGAAAACGGACGGGACCGATCAGAAGACAACGCCCTCAGCAAGATCGTGTCCGCCGTTGTCGACCTCCTTGAACCGACTACCGACTACACCCTGTGTCACGGCATCACCCACCAGTGTCATAGTTCCTCGGCTGGGCCTGAATCGAGACCAAAGAAACACGTCCTCGGCGTTCTCCGCGATCATCAGGCACACCAGGATACAGGACACCCCGACGGTGACTCAGGCGTCGAAACGATCATGCAGGGAAAAAACACCGATCGAGGAGCCAGGAAGAAAGACACCCGACAATTCGACGAAAGATCAGGAATGTGTTTCCCGTATGGTGATCAGAACATCCGTCATTTCACCTAATCCGGAGCATCTTAGCCGTTTCAGCAACGACAGCCAAAATTCCTCGAATGGTTTCAATTTTTCCGATCCGACGAGATCATCCGCGTTTTCGAGACCAACGACGATGACTCTGAACTTGGCAATCGCTTAGGGTTCCAGTTCACCTGGACGAGTGGTATGACCGGGAAAATGGTTCCTCCTACGTCATAGACTTAGGATACCATACCCTAAATGCTACGCGTGAAAGTAAAACGAAAATTGGAAAGTCACATTTTTTTTGTACGATGCTTCGCTTTTGTGGTAATCGACTTTGTTCGTTCGTCTGGAACGTGTGCAGTTGAATGTCATTTTGTTAGGATCTGAGCATATAGCAGCTCATTTCTCTTATGTCAATGATTGTAATGATTATGAATATCGGAATTGGTTTAGATAGTATTGGTTTTCCAATTTGATGCGCATGTCCAACGAAAATTCAAATTTGATTTTTCTCAAAAACGAGACTTCACTCGAAAACATTGAATTACCGATTTTCGACTTATTAACCGTTCTACCCTTTATTAGCGAACGCTCATAAGACAGTGTTAAAGTTCCGTAGCGCGCCGAAGACTATCCTGTTCCTACGAAATGTTGAGACACGCGCGAAAGAATTATTATCCAACGCCGAGGACAAAACAGATCAACCATCGTCTCGTAGAAATACCAAGACGGTCATTATTTACTAGCAACTAGTGTCATTCCTACTAATGTCGAGATAAGTCCGTTAAGTTTTTAGAAGGAACGTTTGAAATTCTATCGTGTTACTTGAATGACGCTTTTAAAGTGACCACAACCCATTTTTATATAGTCGAACGTAGAGTCAATTTCGATGAGAAATTCAGTCATGCAATGAGTAAACACGATCGACATAGATCACGTGACAAATATTATTCCATATACCTTCCTAATTAGGGACCACCTAGCACATAGTCATAGTAACAATGATATCGTGGATCGTCGATTCCTAGTGTCGTGCCTTAAAAACGCTAATCGCATGTGTAGACAGATTCGTTTTCTTTTTAACGATACACCAGCGTCGTATTAAGAAAGTAATTTACTGATTCGGTAAAGAAATTCAGTGCCTATAATGTATGTACGCGTACTAACCTTTAAGATTAATCGTGTCGATCGAATCCAAAGTTCTCCGAGCTCTTCTAGGCAGCTAAAAATTCCTTGATGCTTGAGACTAACGTACACCCAATCGTAGGTTGTTAACGAATGCCGGTCGAAGATAGAAAACCCAAGGAACCGTTTGACAGATAATTATTTTAACACTAATTAGACACGATATGTAAATAATTACACGTTTAAAACTTCTATTAACGTATCACAGTTTAAGTACACTTTCCCGATTGCACCGAACTGAACGTTTGACTACGGTAGTCAAGTTCACATTTGAAAAATGCGGAAGTTTCTTTCTAACCGCGAAAATGAAGAATTTGAATGAACATACCGAATAGTTACCGAAGATTTATGTCAGAAAGACCGATAAAAGCATGGATCAATATAATTTCGGATGTTGTCTTGTTTACGGCAAACGTATGTCTAAGAAAGTAGTTTTATATTGTAATGCATTAAACGCGTTTTTAAATAGAAGAACGCGTATTGTCTGTGATTCGAAGTCGCGTAAACGGAATTCGAATTCCGTATACGGTCTAAGTAGCCCTCTGATGGCCGTATTGTACAATAATTAAGAATTTTTCTTTTTTTGATCTGTTACCGACCAATGGTAACGATCCGAGTGTAAACTAGTCCAATCCGTTTTGCTATTCCGAGCGCAACCTGGCGAAATTTAAATGACAAATATACTAAACTAATTGCACTATACTTTCTATTAATCACTGTAAAAATTAATTTCTATTATATATAAGGATTAGGTAAAAATTTCTAAATCGACAGCGTCGCGCGAAAATTCGAATAGCAACGGTTATAATAAAAACGTTCATGTAGTTTATCTTTTTCACCGTAAAATCGTACATTAAAGAATGTGTTTGCATTAACCTAAAGCGAGGGCGTACAGTAAGTACGCGTGTCCTAGTCATCGATCTAACGCGAAGATCGAAAATAGGGATCCCGATATGTAATTATTCTATTGTATAGTCGTATGAGCCACACGTTGTAAATAGCATTCCCTTACATTATGTATTAGTATTTAGAGTATCTCGCATCGTTAGACGTAGCGCAATTTAATGTACTGTTGTTTTACGTATGTAATGTGTCATTTGTACACCGGAGTGCCTAAGCAAACATTTTACCAATTTTTCTACGAATTGTGAAAGTCTTGTCTATTACAACGAGAAAATATATACATATCGCCATACATGCGTTTTTTTGTACTGAACATTACGTTACCCTTCTTAACAGGAACGACTGGAACCGGAAGTTAACGGAAGCGAGCGTTTCATAACATGAAAATATTATAAGTCAAGAAACAATCTATAAAAGTTTTAAAGAGAAATAACGATACCTATTGCAATAATCATGAAAAAAACACAATTTTTTAATATGATTAGAATAATTAGAAAAAAAATGTTGTCCTTATTACAATTAATCATACCCAACACAATTATTCATAAATACTTTAAAACCTCATAAAATACAATTACTTTTGAGGGGCTGTGTAGGTATACTTGTCGGAATTAAAATAAAAGACTTGTTTATCGATACTTCTACACATCGATCTCGCCATAGAATCGATGAACCATACAATAGTTAATAGCTCCCCGATGCAAACAACGAGTTTCTGTATTCACCAGATGGATTGGAGTTCATAATTAGGGCAACGAAGGGGAAAGCATTTATCTGAGTCAGTTTGATGATGGCCACATAAACCGACTTTAGGCGATATCGCTCACGATTAGAAAGATATTTGTGTTCCGTAAACTGAACTGCGAAATAATGTAGAAAAGCCGATTGCTCTTATCCGAAATAATTTCGCGTAAATACAAGTATCCACATCGAAATTCCTGTATGCAACAGAAAAGATGAGGGGGTCGTATCTTTGGATAATAGAAAAGGCGCATAAATTGCAAATATCGAGGTCGATGAATACGTGAAAAGAAACATTCTGCATTTGGGGCAATAACATTTTTCTGACTAAATATTTAATTTACAATAGTAAATTGTTAACAAAATATTTGAAATCTAACACAGGTTGATGAAGCAACTTGAAGTTACTCCCTAAGTCTTTCATAAATAACAATCAGACTTTCTCAAGACCTTCTTAAAGTAATAACTTTTTGTGTATTTAAAAATTGTAATTGATTTTTTTTTACTTTAGCTAATATTGATATCCTTATTATTTTGCCAACTGTTTCTATGTTATAGTCAGTTTCTATAATGCAGTCGTTTGAAAAAAGATATAAACGCGTGTTCCTATAACAGAATTCGGACATCGCGAAACGATATAAGATACACGTAACAATTACAACAGTGCGAACGCACTTACATCATAATTTACATGCCCCCGCGCTTCTTAGAATTTCTCCTATCAAACCGTACTCCCCCTTCTTTGTTTTAATCCAAATTCTCGTGCCTCTTGATCTCTCGCCGAGATCGAGCACACGCTAACCGATGAAGAGTAACGAAATGGAAAGAGGTGTTTGGTGGGAGTCGTCGATTCAACTCATCAGGATTATCGTTAAACAAACGCAAATAGTCACAGAGACGGTCGCGAAATAGGCTTGAGCCATGCGGCTGATCCTGATCTATTTGATATTCTCCTCGGGGACGGTATTCTCCAGGTACTCCGTAAGTTATAATTTATTTTTTTTTAAACCTTTATTGACCAATTCGCAAAATTTTATTTTTTCCAACATTTATTCTAAGCGATAGATATATGAGGAAAAAAATGCCCAAGATCAGCTATATAAGTTTGTTTAATCTATTCTGACATTTTACATTTATAGTATGAAAATAATGTATGTGCTCCTTCATTGCGAACTGTGTATTGTGTTTAATTCTATTACACTGATAACGCGAGATTTCGTTTATTTATGAGTAACATAGTATTTGTTCATATTTATGATACTTTTCAACTGTTCAGAAATCTATTTAATTCGTTACTACGAATTATGTATTAGTATTTAGTGATGTGGGAGAGAAAGATTTGAGGATCAAAGTTCGTGTGATAAGTCGGTAGGAAATAGCTAGGCCTATTCCCAATTCCTCTTCTTTCTCAATTTCCCTTCGCTTCCATACTAAACTTTTGATCTACAAACATTTTATGACATTTAAAATTTCTTTAGCATTCTTAGATTTATGTTTTAATCTTAATCATTTGTTTCTACAGGAGAAACGGCATTTCGACCGCTCCGTTTACGATGATACCAAATTATTAATCAGGGATAAATATTTACCGAAAAAACAATGGATATTTTCTGATTATGACACGGTACTAGATGCATCAATCTCAAGAGCTTGTATCACAGAAATTTGTATCAACACTTTATATGATAAATTCTTTGCAGAACTTTAAAGCGTACAAAGATAAGGAAGACAACATTTGTTACTTAGAAAAGATGGATGATAGTACTGCTGTAGAAGACCTATCAGCATATGGAAGACAGGAACAGATATCAAAGATATTCTATGCGTCCACAGATACTTTAACAAAATTAGAGGTAAATAAATAATAGTTTACAAAATTGTTTTCATAGAAATAATATTATTATTTTACTTTTCCACAGGCATGGCGAATCGCTGGTGGTAGAATAATTGCTTTCTGTCATGGACGTAAACTGATTTTGTTACAAAACACTATGCCAGTTTTTGGAGAAACGACAAATCCCTTTCTCAATGTAATTCCCCAAGATGAAAATGATATCGCAGTGAGGCGAGTAGCTGACGTAGTTCTAACACCTCTGATAAGTCGAACCAAACGACAAATCATACTCGAAGAACGGGAGAGACTAATTGAAAACTCCAGTCGGACTCGTACACGACGTCAAGCTCAGCAACCTCGAGGAAGGTTTCGGGGACAGACGCAATCACAGTATTTAAGTATTGATAGTGAGGATCAAAAAGAAGGTAAGGCCGAAGCAGAAGCCACGCAACAGTCTTCTCGCGCAGTAGTCAGTGAGTATTTCAAACTTCTCATCATTCCTTTACTACTCGAGTAAAATGTAAAATGAAAATTTCAAACTTATTTGAAGGTGGAAGTCGTGGTATGGGTCAAGCACAAAGCATGTCAGTCGGTAACAATGGATGTGAAGAATGCCCTAAATATACTAATGAAGGTGCACCAGACAGATATGTCCAATATCCCAGCGCTGGATCTTTTATTCAACCTGGTGTTATTACCCCAGGAAATAATGCAGATACGACATTCACACGTGGCCCTCTACCTAGAGGACCAGCTTATCCAGATAATATTACACCTACTGGAGATACAACACCAGGTAACATTGTCAGAGGCGGGGCAGATTATCCTGGCGGTGTACCTAGTATTATGCCAACTGGAGGTAGGGTTACATATCCTACTGGTACGATTGGTACCACAACAAAGGAGAGTGGAGTTTCTTACCCTGGTAGTTTACCTGGCACTACAACGGGCGGTGGAGTTGTCTATCCCGGTAGTGTACCTGGAATTACATCTGGCGGTGCAGTTACCTATCCTGGTGGTGTACCCGGTTCTACAGCGGGCGGTGGAGTTAGCTATCCTGGTGGTATACCCGGTCCTACAGCAGGCGGTGAAATTAGCTATCCTGGTGGTGTACCTGGTCCTACAGCGGGCGGTGGAGTTAGCTATCCTGGTGGTGTACCCGGTTCTACAGCGGGCGGTGGAGTTACCTATCCTAGTGGTGTACCTCGTACTACAAGTGGCGCCGGAAGTGACTATCCTGCTGGTATACCTGGTAGAACAGACAGTGGTACCTACCCTGGTGGGATACCTGGTACTAGAATAACTGAGGGCGGTGTCAGCTATCCTAGTGGTGCACCTGGTACTGTAATGACTGGACCTGGAATTAGTTATCCTGCTGGCGTACCTGGTAGAACCGACAGTGGAGTTACTTATGCCGGTGGGATACCTGGTACCAGAATAACTGAAGGTGGGGTTAGTTATCCTAGTGGTGCACCTAGTACTGTAATGACTGGACCTGGAGTTACTTATCCAGGTAGCGTTCCTGGTACTAGAATAAGTGACGGTCAGGTTAGCTATCCACTAGGTGTACCTAGTGCTAGAATAACTGGAGGTGGAGTTAGCTATCCTAGTGGTGTACCTGGTACTAGAATAACTGAAGGTGGAGTTAGCTATCCTAGTGGTGTACCTGGTACTAGAATAACTGAAGGTGGAGTTAGCTATCCTAGTGGTGTACCTGGTACTAGAATAACTGAAGGTGGAGTTAGCTATCCTAGTGGTTTACCTGGTACTATAACAACTGGAGATGGTACAGTTTATTTTGGCAGTGTGCCTGGTTCTCCAATCACTGGAGGTGGTGTTGTTTATCCTGGTGGTATACCTGGTACTACAACTGGACACAGAATTGCTTATCCTGGTGGTGCACCTGGCACTACAACAACTGGAGGTGGTGTTGTTTATCCTGGTGGTGTTCCTGGTTCTCCAACAACTGGAGGTGGTGTTGTTTATCCTGGTGGTGTATCTGGTTCTCCAACAACTGGAGGTGGTGTTGTTTATCCTGGTGGTGTACCTGGTTCTCCAACAACTGGAGGTGGTGTTGTTTATCCTGGTGGTGTACCTGATACTGTAGCAAGCAGAAATGGTGTAGTTTATCCTAGTGGTATACCTGGTACTACTACTGGAGGTGGTACAATTTATCCCGGTGGTTTACCTGGTACTACAACAACAGGAGGTGGAATAACGTATCCAAGTGGTATGGTACCAGGCAGCAGAACAGATACTCGTGGTCAAATTATAACAGAATCAAAAGCAACTGCAGACACGAAAATATATCCTGGACAAATCTCCGGATTTCCATATCCTGGTGTGATTGTACCGGGACAATCGCCTAGCGATACTGGAGGAAGAACTATCACAACTAATGCTGAAGGTGCTGTTCCTTACAGTAGTGGTATTTTACCGCCAGGTCATTTACGGGAAACTGTACAGTATCCGGGAAGAGTCATACCACAACCGACAAATGTAAATGGGATTACTCCAGAAACATCTGGTGTAATACATACAGGAATTGGTACTTATCCTGGTGGTACTGTACCAAGAACTCCAGGAAGTCTTACTGGTCAAATAAATTATCCTGGAATCGACGGCACAAATGTCATCACAACTGGTTCGAATACGGGTACAATGATCCCTTATCCTCAAGGTACTCAATTTAAACATGGACAAGGTGTATATCATCCAGGAATGCAAGTAGGGCCTGATGGTAGAGTGATTCATTATCCTGGCACACCTGGAACAGTTCCCTCGGGTTACTCAGTACAAGAACAACATCCTGGTGTTGCTACATGGCATGATGGACAAGGTCAAACCATTTCAGATATGACAGGAAGACATGTAAATGGGGGAAGTAATAGACAGGGGGAGTATTTAAGTGAAGGACAAAATATCAGACAACAATATCCAACTGGAATGAGGCCCGCAAATGCTGGAGAAATCTCTCAGTATTATCAACAAGCGGCTAGCGCGCCAACTGTGGAAGATGACAACTCTAATTCCCAGGCATCTAGTTCTGTAAAACAAACGGACTCTGGGACGCAAGCGAGTGCATCATCTCAGGGAACATATGGAGAAGGTACAGCGCAATCTCAGGTAACAGGTACATACAGTGGCTCTGGATCTTTCTCAGCTCAAGCTGGTAGCAGTGATACTAATAAAAATGCCCAGACTGAAATTAGTGGTGGTAAAGAAGGTGCTACAAGTAATGCTCAAGGAGCAGGTGGTTATGGTAAAAGTCAAGCCCAAGTTCAATTGGATTCTGAGTCCGGGGCTACATCGACAGGTGCACAAAGCAATGGCTGGAATCATGGTACCAATTCTCAGGTGCAAGCAAGTTCCAGAGGTGGAATGGCAGACGCCCAAGCAAATGGTGAAGGAAGTACTTCCAGTCAAGCACAGATTGGTTTTCAACCATACCTTAAGACAGATGAAAAGCTTGAAAGACACGCAAAACCTTTCCGTGGAGGTGGTACAGCTTCTGCTCAAAGTGGCATGCACAGAGGTCAATCTCAATCTCAACTTGAAGGATCTTTCCAATATGGAATTACATACACCGGTGCCGCACAAGCAGGATCCGGGTCTGGTGCAGCAGCTTCTAGGAAACCATTTAAATTTAATCTCACAGAAACAGAATTGTTCAAACCCTTTGAACCATATAATACCCCGCAAATAACAAAAAGTAATGGGAGTTCGGTAACGAATACATCCTCAGGCGCTGATTATGAGTATAATCAAGAAAAGCCGCCACAAGGTTTACAGTCAAGTTCGAGTTCCAGAAGAACAGTTATTGCCAATGCAACAAAGGAAGTATCTCAAAACGTGGCTGGTAAACAAACTCAGTCCGGTGAAAAATCTCAAGTAGATGATACTATGTATGATTACGATGAAGAATACGGTGATTATGACGCCTCACAAACACAAACTTCAACAGATGCAAAATATTCGAAAAATTATATTGCAGACCAAAATAATAGCGATCATCAGTCACAAATGATACAAGTTACAACTGGAAATCAATATGATGTTCACGTACACCAAGACTCCAATACACCACAACTTGGTGATAGGCTTCAACCAGGACAATCATTACCAGGATATACAATACCACCAGGATTTCGTGGTAGAGTGAAATCTGTAGCTGGTGATGAAACTACTGCTCACGGTGACGGAAAATCACAGTCTCAAACAGTTTCTCTAATTCCGAGAATACCCAATACTGCTCATGAAACTAAATCACCAAACTCAGAAACCCGATCACTTAAAACCAATCATGAAAGATTAGCTGAAGATCATGCTTTGTCTAAAGAAGAGTACAACTTTTCTCGATTTCGAAATCACCAAACTTCCACAGATTATTCGAAACCTGCGACTGTGCCAATGAAACCAAGTTATTACACAGTAACAAACAGCTTTGCTGGTAAAATGGATGGTAGTAAAAATTCACACAAGAAGTATGAGCATCGATACTATACTAAAAGTTCTACTTGTGGATACTTTACATTCTCCTGTAATGTTGTGTATGGTTCTAATGGTAGGACAAAAATTTGTAAACCAAAAATGCCAACACATCCTGATGGCACTCCAGTGAAATGTTAACCGGATGTTACTGATTAAGTAATAACTTCTCTTCTCATTTTATTTTCATACATTATTCCATAATATATTAATACTAAAGATATTTTTTATTACAATTTAGACTATTATACTCTTTTATCTCCTGTATTAATTTTACAAACACAAATATTTATGATCGTTCATACATTTTATGAATGTACGTCATACTTCTATTGTCTCACACACATACATACTATACATAATTTTTATTGAGGTAATCGTACTGAATGTACATCATTATCGATTTAATAGCGCTACATCATTTACTAGTATTTAATCCAGCTTTATCAATAAAACACATTTTAAACAAATAAAAATTTTTGTTCTCTATTCTCCATCAATTGTAAATTACATCAAGTGATAAATATATATAGAATATTCTTTTTCAATCTAGAGAGAAATGAAAATTTAAATAATCATTTTTCTACATAAAATTAGATTTTAAGTACTACATAACGTATATAGATACTCGCGTAAGTATTTTACTTATTTTACATATATTAGCGACAATGTCTGAACTGTAATCATAAATATCAGGTATCATAGAAGGTAAAAGTTGTCGCTTATTTTTCAACTTCACCGGTCTTTAGATAAGAGGCAAAGTGTATAATTACATAGATATTTTAAGTATGTACAATATTTATACACATGCAATAAACATAAGTAAAAAATAATACATTGGAATGTGAGCTTTTTACAAACGTAGGTATCCACAAAAAACTTTGAAAATAAAAAAGTAAAAAGTATATATATAATAAAAAAATGAAAGACAAATAAATGATATCTATCTAGAACATACTCTAGTAACTTTAAACCATACGACAATACTGAAATAGGCAGTGATTGTTCACTATATAAGCTCACCGGTCAAATAAATTACTTGTTTGCCTACACCATTAATAGTTCTTTATACAATTAAAAAGTACTCTTACATCCACTGATGCATGTTTTAGGAAATTTACGAAAAAATACTTTTCACACATTCCAAACTTGACATTTCTTACTCAAATCAAATATAACATTATTATTGAAATAAGTGAATACTAGGCTTGTTGAGATTCATATTCTGAAATAATATATATGAAATATTATTTTAAATTTGAAATTGTTACATATGTTAAAATATTAAAACTTACCATCTGCTAATTTTTCACCACTGGTTGCACACAATTTCTCTTCAATATTTTCTCCTACATCTACTGTGTAGGAATCAGTACTAATAACAAGTTAATTATTAGTAACTGTTCTACAATCTAATTAAAAAATATACGTATGTAATAATAAAAAAAACACTAAGAGATATTTTTCTTATTCACCTATTTCGGAAGTGTTCTAATTGTACATTAGCAGACTCTAACTGCTCTAAAAGATCTTCGTTTGACCGTTGCAATTTACGAACGCTATTACTCGCAGCGTCTACCTCATCCTGAGCTGCAGCTAATTCTTTTTTCAATTCTTCTACTCTTGCTCTCACTCTCTTTACTTCTGCTTCATATTGTTCTGATCTCCTCACCGCATGTGATAGTTCTGTTGTCTTTTCCTTTAACGACTTTTGTAATACCTAATAATTTTTTTCATTTAATTAATACATATTAGAGAGGAGAAGTTAAATAAAATTAAGATGTTGAATAGTAATGCAAACCGTTTTTGTCACTAAAAGTTCTTGTTGCAACTGTCTTATATCACTCTCGGATGTAGAAACTGGACGCAATCGTCGAGATTTTATCCTTTCTTGTAGATCATGTAATTCATTACGAAGTTGTTTATTTTCTCGTTCTAACGAGATCTTTTCAGTTTCTAAACGTTCTCGTTTTCCCCATTCTGCAGCATTTTCAACTTGAAGCTTCTCTAACTGAAATTACATGATTAGCAACGAGTAAAGATTACCAATACTTAACATACTTTTCATATTAATAAAACTTACTTCAGCCCTAAGCTCAGATAAACGATGATTCATACTATCTCTGCTTGAAGCATCGTCAATTAAATTAGCCTGCACATCACTAAGTTCAATGTGAAACCGATCCTTTAATTCGAGTAATTCCCTCATAGTTTCAGCTTTACTTTCTTCTATTTCATCACATTGTTTACGTAATTGCGTTATTTCTGCCTTTAGCTTCTCCATACCACGGTGTAACGAATTCTTTTCCCTAGCGAAAAAATGTAAATGTAGTTGTATAAAAATACAGCTTAAAAATGTACACAAAATGATGTTGTATTATGTCCTTACTCTCTTTCAGTGCAAATTGTCTTCGTTGCTTCATCTAGTTTATGTTGAAGCATTAATATCTTTTGTGCAGAAGATTCATCATTTTGTAAAGAAACCTGAAGCTTCTCTACACGGTTTTCTATAGAACTACAATCTGTAACTAATCTCGAAGTATCTTTATCCAATAAATTTATAGAACTTTCTTTATATAACTCTACAGCATGCTTTGGCACTGCCCCTTGCAACACATACTCTTCAATATCTCTGTCTGGTAAGATATTATGATTTCCTAAACAGATATTAGGTTCATCCAGCAAAGTTTTACAAGTATGTATATCCTTTTGAGAGTTTACACTTTCACTGCGTTCTACATTATTGTAAAACTTTAAAAATTCTTCTATACCTAGTGTACTTCTTAATTGTGGATCTGATTCTAAAACTGTAAAAATCTGTTGGTCAAATTGTCCTGCATGTTTTAATAATATCATATGTATCTTTTCCATTTCCTTTTTCAGTTGTTCATTTTGCAACTCAAGTTCCTGACACTCGTGCTTATAACTGTTTGCATCTTTCACAGCAATTTCTAACTTTGCTCTAAGCATTTTTGCTTCTTCCCTTGCCATGTTTCTCTCATTACGCACTTTACTCCATTTCTCCCGCCAATTAGCTGTACAATCTGACCACCACCTCATTGTTTTTTCCATTTGAGCCGCTCGTGCTCTTGCTTCTTCAAGTTCTCTTGGTCGTAGAGCCTGGAAACATTAATCTTATGAATGATTTAATATACCTTATGCTACTAATATATTGTAACTTGCTAAAATAATTTCATTACCATATGTCGTGGTGAATATAGATTACCATTTTAAAGTTTTAATACTATAAAAAATGTAAATAACGTACAAAAAATATCTCTTTACATCCTTGTACACAGAATGTGTGGTTTACTCAGCATATACTAACAGAAACAAATTTCAAAAATTAAATGTCAGGAATAAGGAGTAATAAAGAATCACCTCTTTGGTCTCCCACTCACTGTCCACGTAACGTGAAGAGGATGGTATGCTAACATCGTGTTCTCTCATATATCGTCGGGAAGACGTTCCACTGGCTGTCGACTGTGCCATTGTCAATGAAAACGTAACCTCCAATACTATTTTTTTAATGAACAATTTACGTCGATTACGTTTTATTTTTATTTGCGTTAGAAGATCACTACGAGTTTATAATCAACTGGCTTCCAGTATCTTATTTACACTTTTCTTTGTATCATATTCAAAATAATTGCGGTTAAGATACAGTTTTCGTATAATTTTAATCTTCATACATAACATATATGCATCTGACGCTGTATTCGTATTATATCTATGCATTTAAACATATATATGACACACACACACATACCACAGAGTACGTTACAAGCTAAGGTTACTTTGTAAAGAGAGAAGGAAAGTGTGTACACACACCTTAACTTTGTTCACAATTTTTCTTTTACTTGGCACTTATGAACTAAGCATGAAGTTAAATTTTAAACAAATATATATTATATTGATAAATTTGTTCTTAATAAACAAATAATTATTGAAAGTTTGACGAAACCTATATATCGCGTATCATATACAAATTTACTATCATTATATACACCAATTACACTCATAGGGGTGTAAACATTTATAGTAAACACATAATCCATTCATGAGAAAACCATTTTATAAGAGAGAATCATAATGAATACTGCAAAAAGTAATTGTGAAACTGGAAATGGTTTGGAGGATCTTGCCATACCAGGCCAAGTTTTCTTAAGAGATGCATTAACAAGTTGCACGGATCCATTGAAAGCGATAGAAGAATTTCAGTTAGAAAATGGTGTTTTACTACCATCTTTACGACCTATGTTACCTTTACTCGATCTTCACGGAGTGAGAAGATTAGATTTTCATGCATCAGTTCTTGAAGAATTAAGAGAAAAACTTATAAAGAGGATCAATGAAATTGGAACAGAAAGAGCAGATAAGGGCTCATCAGGAGATAGAAGATTAAAGGAATTATTGTCCAAAAGTTTCCCAGCTGTGAGAGTTTCAGCGTTAAGGCCTGTTGTTATGTGTATTTTGAGGAATACACCACACATAGAAGAGAAATATTTACGAGTACTTGTTCGAGAAAAGGAATTATATAATGATGCAGACACAGAAGTTAAAAGACAAATTTGGAAAGACAATCAAAGTCTGTTTGGAGATGAAGTTTCACCATTATTTAGTAGATATATCATTGAAAAGGAACAAATTTTATTTGACCATAGAAATTTAAACAGTCTTTTCTTCACACCTTCTCCCAAGGTACATTATTATACCATGAATCTTTATGGAAATTCAAATTTTTATAGGTGCATTAAATACAACTAAAATCAAAGGAAAGATTTGTTACCTTTTTAAAAATTTGTACTGTATTGTGTTTTCTACATTTATAATTCTTATAATTCTTATAAATGTATAAAATCTTTAGTCTGTATAAAATAGCACTTCTATACAGGTGGTCGCCTAAGAGTAGAACCTTCCATTGCTTTTAAGGATAAACGAAAATGTATTAAAAAGAAAGTATTATTTCAAAGGGACAATTATTATGACAAAGGAGATTTTTTCTCAGTCATACTTTCCAAGATTTTTTTAGATGGAATGGTACATTTCCATTACTGTAATATTGTAGCCAACAGACAACAAATTTATCCATGTATAATACGTTGACCTTCAGATGACCTGTGAAATAATTCTTATAAAAAGGTATAATCTAACATACAATGTGCCTGCTTACCTACAGACTTCTCATTAAAATATTGAAATGTCGATTGATTGTCTTTTATTTATAAACAATTTAGGGTCGCATTTATTCATCCATTCCCTATTAGTATCAATTTTTTCACAGTTTCACAATGTCATACTTAATTAATGAAATGTATGAAGGTCAACATACATGGGCGAATTTGTTATTTCATCGACTACAAAATTACAGGAATAAAAATATATTATTCCATTTAAAAAAAACTTTGGCTGACCTTGAAATCTCGGAAAATTGACCTTGAGAAAAAAATCTCCTTTGTCGCATTATTTGTTCCTTTGAAACAATACTTTATTTTTTACACCTTTTCTTGTACCGTTCAATGAAGATGAAACATTTAAGGTTTTAGTTGTAGATGACTCACCTTGTATAATAAGGTGATCTTTATGAAACTATATAAATTATGTACCTAGGTGAGAAGACAAGGTGAAGTTGTACAAAAGCTAGCCCACATGATTGGACATAGTGTAAAACTATATGACATGGTGTTACAGTTTTTAAGAACTTTATTCTTGCGTACAAAGAACATACATTATTGTACATTAAGAGCTGAATTATTAATGGCTTTACATGATTTAGAGGTCAGTTTATATAATATTAGATTACATTGCGTAGCATTGCATAAAATATACATGATATTAAATAAACATTTAGGTCCAAGACATTATTTCGGTAGATCCATGTCATAAATTTACTTGGTGCCTGGATGCATGTATCAGAGAAAAGAATGTTGACATTAAAAGGTCCCGTGAATTACAAGGATTCCTAGATAGCATTAAGGTATACAACATATTTTGTTTGTGCTTAACGATGCTACTTCATCTTGAGATAGAAAAATGAAATGATCTACAGTTTTATACAGAGAGGACAAGAACAGGTATTGGGTGATTTGAGTATGACATTATGTGATCCCTATGCAGTAAATTTTCTTGCTAGTAGCGCTATAAAAATTGCGCTTCATTTAATAAATGGTGAAGCATTGCCTAGAGAAAATGCAGTTCTTGTGTTACTACTAAGAATGCTTGCATTGGGTTTGTCTGCCTGGCAAATGATTGATTCGCAAGATTTTAAGGAACCAAAGTTAGATAGTCAAGTTGTTACTAAGTTTTTGCCAGCACTTATGTCTTTAATGGTAAAATAATGTTTTTGTTATAATGCGTAATTAAAAATATTTATGGTTAAATCAATAAAGAAATAATTCACTTTTCAGGTAGATGATCAAATAAGACAACTAAACTGTAAACTTCCACCTGATGAAAGAGAAAGTGCAATTGCTATAATAGAACATTCCGGCCCACCTCCTGATGCCTGTCAAGCATATGCCCAACTTTCGGGGGTGGCTGCTGTTTTATCTATGTATTATGCATTACATGTAGGAGGAGGTGGCGGAGTTGGAAGAGGAAGAGGTGACGCTAGGGGATTAATGAGAGTATTAGCTACTTTACCAAATTGCCAAGCGCAACGTGCATTTGAAGATCCGTTTTTACATACTTTGGTAAAGCAACATAACTTAAACTCGTATATACTTTATAAATCTACTGACTTCATTGTAGTAATATCAGATAAAATGCAATATCATATGGTTTTACAGGTATCGCTTTTAATACTAAACATGGCTGATGAATTTTCGAACGAATCATTTTGTACAGTTATATTTGATGAATTTTTCCTGGCCGGCCTTGGAAGAGACAATGTGACACGTCATTTACTCAAACTTCTTTGGTACATTCATCCAAAATTGCCACCAACTCGGTTACATACACTAATGAAAGCACTCCAACCAACTAGTCAGGTACCCTTAGATTGTTTTACAGAGAATGATACAAAAGAACTTAATGTATGTATTTTTATCGTATTTTCGTTTGTATCATTCCAGCATAATGAAGCTGTACATAGTCTCTATGAAGCTTTACGTGAGAAAATTGGAAGTCGTTCCACAGAAGATCAATTACCAACGACTGCACAAATGGACACATTAGGAATTGATTGTCCACCCTCTCCTCTTACTGGTGTACCCACACCATCTTCATTGTAAAGATCTCAGAATATAAAGTTTGGTACTTGGAATATTGATAAACATGATTTAGTAATTCTAATTACAAACAGTTATACAGGGTGACTCAACAAAATCTGAACATCTAAATATCTGTCATCTTTATTTTCAATGATAAGTTTGTTTGATGGCGTCACTAATCAATAATCCGATAAGTTTTCGAAATGTAGGAACTGTATGGTGGTGTCTTCCTTCAATGATCGACTGAACTAATTTTGAAACACCTTCAAGATAGTTTCGGCCATGCGCCGCTAAATGCCGCCACCATACAATTTTTTGACCCTAACCGTTTGTACAAAATTCAAACAATGTATTCATGTATCGCCTAGTTGCCTAGTATTGCCGCAGATGGACATCACTCTAAACATTTATTAACATAAACAGTAGGTTCACATACCATCCTAACACTACATACTTGGAATTCGATAACCTTTCTGGTATTGAAGGTCACCTCAAGGTCACAACACACATGCTTGAATGCATTACAACTGCTACAAAACAAAGTAAAAAAATGTTGTCCTGAAAAAAGTACTAATAACCTTGAAAAATTTTAAAACAATTTTTCTGACACCATGTTCTTCCTTCAACACCCTTCAGATTATGTCTTAAACATTTTAAAGTATCATTAAAGACAAAGATATTTATGTGTTTGGGTTTTCCTGGGACATCCTGTATTTTCTACTGTATACATGTTTTATCATACTTGAATTACGAATTCCAAGATTAATACAAATTTTATATTTTCATAAAACTGTAAAAAATGACATGAAAATATGTAGGTTTTATTTTTATTTTATATTCATGAATTAGTACATATAAAAATGACCATATGCAGTATAATAATCAGAGAATAATACTACTTGAAAACTTTTGATATAAATAATACATGTAAATAAGATAGAAATAATGTACATAATTTAAAATACATTAAAAATGCGTAGTATTATTTGTATGTACTGCTTTTGTGTCATTAATTAACTCCATCACTAATCTGTCTAAATAATTTGAATCCAATTTATACGACATTAAAATCATTGAAATGTACATTGATGCCTGTCTAGTTAATAGTAAGTTTTTTAACTGTGGATCTATCATGCTCAACCTGAAAAAAATATTAAAAAATAAATGATATTTAATATAAAGTAATTTATTTATTATACATTACAGTACTCACATTTTAATAATAATGAGACCCACAAGAGTCCATTCAGCAGTTTTAAAAATAATATTTGTAGCCGACAATGAAAAAGTGTTAACTAATGCTTTAATTAAAGCATTCTGGTTGTTACTACAAGTATATTGTGGCCATGTAGTACTTGCTAAAGCTCGTACCAAGTCTGGTAATCTGTAAAAAAAAAAAAGAAAAAGAGTAATTATTAATGTTAACAAACAATAGATACAATATTAAACTAACAGAAAGATTGATTTACATTCTATTAAGTTTATCCAAGAAAATTCGTCGCCGAAGCGCTCTAGGGTCGTGCGAATCTGTTAAAGGTAACACAGGAGCAAAATCATCATTCTGTTGCGTATTTTCAGTAACTTTTTCAGGTGTTTGTATAACCATATCTCCTTTAAAAAATGCTTTCACCTAGATGTGATAATTATGTATATTTGCAACCATATAATGTGTGATAATTTATATTAATTATGCCTACCTTCAATTCCATTTTCTTTCCTTCTTCTTGAAGGACAGACAAATGTGGCATAGGTTTCAAACTATTTTTTGTCAAATCTGCATCATCTTTTTCGTCGGTTAATTGAAATTTATTTAATTTTTTACACAAATGCAAGTATCTGTCATGTTGAGTAATATTCTCTAATAATTTGTTTTTAATTTCTTCTTCCCCTGATAATAAAGAAATAGTATCTTTGGTAATCCATTCCTTTATGTTACATTCAATGTTCATTGCAAGATTATAAAACTTATGTCGTTGTTTCTCTTTAACACAATATTTTTGTTTATATTTCTTAGATTCATTTTTTTCTATTTTTTGTACATCTTTCCCATTATTAACTTCAGAATCTTCTTTAACAATAACCGCATTACATGCTATTTCTGTTTCTAATAACTTCTTTTGTTCATTATTCTTATTCTGATTTTTGTTTTCACTCAAGGAAATAATGTCATTGTTTAGTTCTTTCTCATCTTGAATTTCAATACGATTTGTATTATCAGTCGAACATTGTTCAACAGTACTAGTTATATCTTTTGAGATAAGTATTTCATCTTTCGTGTGCTCAGAATTTTCAACAGAGTTCTCTAAAAACTGATCTTCACCCAAATCTAAAGTTTCACTGTTATTACTTATTTCTGCGACTTTAATATTTATGTCAGTATTGTCTGTTGGACACTTGTTATTATCTTTTGAATTATTATATGTTTCATTCAATTCTATTGGATGATCTTTGCTATTAGGATTTAATACCATATTTGTATCCACCAGATGAATTTCATCTCCAGGTATACTTCTCTGTGGTTCATATTTTATCGGTAAAACTTTAAAATCAGATATTGCTTCTTTGTCTCTCAACCAAAGAGGACTTGTTAGCATTTGTTCCAAAAGATAATTACAAGCACCATAACAGCGTGAACTACAGAAGTTTTTACGTCGTGTGACATCATAAACTTTGTTTCTTCTTGTTGATATGTGATACTGTTGATTAATCACAACTGTCAATACATTTACACATAATACATAGCCACATAACTTGATCACAGCCCTTTCTTCAATCACATCTTCCATATGACATTTATTAATATACCTTAGCTATAAGAATATGTAGCAATGTGAAATTAATGTTACAATTATTTTATATTAATTACTTACATTAGATAAAAGCCACTGGACTTCAATGTTAGGTTCTATAAGTTGTTCAACAATTGTCAGAGCTTTCGCATCGCATTGTTTCTTCTTAATTATCGCTAACTGCATTTGTGCCTTGCTTAATCAAAAACAAAATTGTGTAAAAAGTGTACAATAAAGATATATAATATTTGTGTTACGAAATACGTTTCTACATATCACTAACACAACAAAACTTACCTCAGTTTTTTCTTTAACTTTATTCTTTCAGATGTTTCTTGTTTTAGCGTAGATGTTGCCATTTCGAAATTATAATTATAAACAATACCTTGTACGTCAAAACAATTTGTTCATGGACACCAGTTTTACTGGGTTTTACTGAGCTTAACCATCTTAACTTTGTTACTTACCAAAAACATGGCAAGCTACAAAAAGTGACATTGAAAAATTCCTATACTATAGAGAACAATTGAATTACATTAATTATTTTACGAATACATAGTTACTTTCAAATTTACGTAACTTTATTTCATAAAACAAATGACATCTTCCATAAATAAAAATTTAAAGAAATTCAAGAATGAACCAAAATAATAAAAAAGTCCTGCATTATAAAGTAAAATGTGTAATATGTATTTATAACATAACGTAGTACCTTATTGAAAATAGTAAATAAATTTATACTTTCTGTGCATATATTTAAGACTGTCAACTGATACTATGTATTAAATACGACAAACTAATTATTTATTTTTACCAATATGTGGCAACATATTCTAGTAATTTTTGTTATTTTTCCTGATTCAAAGAACAGCAATGCTACAATTTGCCAGCCTGACTGTAGATTAATTAATTAGAATCCAACCAAATCTAATTTTATTCTTAACCGTGTATGGTTTCCAATGTTATTGATATTTAGTCAACGTATTATTTGCGACTAAACGTATAAAAAAATGTATTCCAGTTGCGTTACAATTAATAATACAAAGTATGAACATTTCAGAGATAGAGTTTAGTATGGACGTTTAACGCACTCTAGTGGCGATTTCAGAAACACTGAACCGGCTGTCTTGTAGAAGTAGAGGTCTAAGGAAAAGAGACCAGTAGAGTGTGACTGATTGTATGGTGTGATCTCGGAGTGGTGTTACGTTTTCAGTATTATCTTGTTGTGCTCGCCATGACGTTGGTTTGAAATCGTATCTCAAAATATTAATCCCGATGTTGGTCGTAGGACTGTGCCAATGTAGTTTTCATGCTTTTAACGAGGAGAGAACCCGGGGAGGCAATTCGTGGATACCGAAGAAAGCTTCAAACACGTTTGAAGCTTTCGAGGTCGTATTCATGGAACTATGAACCTGGACTCGTTGTCTTTTACTTTGTCACAAATCAGTTATTTGGTTGCGAACTTAAATAAGAAAAATTTTCGAGACAGCTGCCAAGAAATATCAAATGTGAGTAGACAAAAAACCTGTTGTACTGCTGCATCTCTTATGCCCACCCCTTCCACTTTCTGTTCATCACACGCCGTCCTCGGAAACAGCGCAATATGCTTCATGAACATTATCGCCGATTTCACTTAAATCCGTCTATCGGGAGAGACTTTTCAATTAAAAAAATTACTCACGGATTTATACGCAGCTGTACACACATATTTCAGAATATTGGTAATCTAGTACTCACGCGGCACAAAATACACCTTGAACTTAGCCTCTTTCCGTGATTTGTATGTGTCCCAACGTATTATTTCGAACGACGAAGCTCTTTTTAGATCCTTCAACGCATACATCTCGATCGTTAATCATAATAATTCATTTAATTAGCCCAAGAATAAATGTTTATGTACTTATTTTGTCCGTGGTTATTTTTTTTATGTTCTACAACCTTCTTTTTTTTTCACTTCTATTGTTGAAAGTCTAGTTCTGTTTCAGAGCTTGTGTTCTATATATTTATTTTTATATAGATATTTAATATATGATGGTTCAGACTTTTTTAAAACTCACAATTGTATTGTAGCTGGTGCTGTGGAAGGGTTTGGAGGCAGACAGACACTTGCTGCGCTCTTTGCTCTCGTGCATCGATTTCTTAACAGGAGAGCCACCAGAATCAAGTGCAAAAGATTATTATCAAGTGCAACTCCTGAAGCAAGAGTGTACTAATCTTCTCAGCAAACCTTCTTTCATTTCTAATCTGTGTTTTGCTATAGATCATCCATTTCACCAGCAAAAGGTTTTTCTTTATTTTCTATTTAGGTTAAGGTCAACATAACTAGCATTTACATATGAAGATCACAGGGCAAAACACAATAAGTCCATTTTTTCTGATTTTTATGCCTTTTAATGGCTAAAAGGAACTACTTTAATATGACATAGTTGAAAAAAGAAACAACTTGTCAAGTCCAAAGATCTAAGCCTTTAAAAAATAAGGAAATAACACAATAAGTCTAAATGAAGCAAGGAAATAATTTGATAGTCCAAAAACTCAATTTAAGTTGTTACATGACAATTTATATGGTAATTTAAGAAGTAATTATTTGGAAAAAGAATTGTTATCAAAGCAAAAAACTGATAGGTCCATGAAGTTTTGTAAAAAACCATGAGCATAACTAATGTTATGACAATTAATATTTTTGAAATGTTAAAGAGGGTAATAAAAATACATAAATAATCTCAAACCCAAATAAAACATAGATTTAATGATAGTGGGATCGGTTGATAGTGTTTCGAACTTAAAAATTGCTCCCCTATAAAGAATGGAAAGTGTGACTTATTTTGTTTTTCCCCTGTGATGTTCATATATATTAAAAATTCTTCTATTTTGTAATACTTTATAGAGTAAAAGGTAATAATCATAATTAACTTCACTTTTACAGACTTTGAACCCATCACCAAAGTTTTTTTTACGTTTGAAAAAGGTACTTGGCTTAACTCTGGTACAAGAAGTTGCATTTGCGATTGCTTTGCTGCATTCTGAGAATTCTGAAATTTGTACATTAGCCCTAGAGCACGTGCAAAAGCAGCTGCCCGAATTGATAAAAAATTATATTAACTCTGAAACAAGCAATAAGCATCACGAAGAAGGATTGCACGATTCATTGCCTGAAGTTCTTCACCTCATATTATCGCAGGCTTTACATTCAGCCAATCAATTTGGCTTGTCGTCTGAAGCAAAAGAAAAATTTCTCAAGAATTTAAGGCGCGATTTTCCCCGTGAGCTGGTACCAGTGGTGCTAGCACCACTCTTGTATCCAGACAACGGGGAAACTACGCAAGCCAAAATTGAACTAAACATGGCTGTCAATCAAATGGTAAACTTAGTAATAGTTGATACTTTGTAGTTCATACATTAATATGAATACTAAAATTTCAAATACATGTAATAAATACTTTTCAGGATGGGAATTCCCTAGTAGAATTGATTATGGAATTAGGGTATGGACTTACTAGCAGTGTTGAAGAATGCAGATCAGCCTTAGCTGGCCTAGGTGCTCGGGAAATATCTCCCGCATGTGCTGCAAGAGTTTTAGCTCATATGGCACGTACTTGTAATAACCTTGATGATGCTGGAGGTTTACAATCATATTGGAGTAATTCAGGAGCAACACAGGATGCAAACAAAGAAAAATCTTCAGATAATGCTGCTCCTTCTACTTGGAATGTTGAAGTGTTTATTCAAGCTTTAAAAGAAACTGTAAGTAGTATTAATTAATTTTTAAGTATGACATATAATGGTATTTAATAATAGTATTTATAACCTTTATTATATTTTTAGCAAACTACACTGTCTTGGAACGATGTGATAATTAAGTTGGACCATGCTGAATTTGTAATTAAAGACAGGCAGGGATTGAATTTACTGATTACCAGCTTAAGGCTAGGTTTGCAACATCAAGGATATCCTCCAGATATGTTTCCTGTAGATCTTTTTTATCGTCATTGGGATAATGTAGAAGGACAATTTTCTTTAGTACAACAAATTCTCAAGTGTCCAGACATATTTTGTTTTGCCGATTATCCGTACCACTCTGTTACCGTTGATGTGTTAAAAGCGGCACCAGAAAGTGACAGTAAGGAAGCCCAAACATGGAGATCCTTGAATGTTGTTGAATTACTCCTTCATATGGCAGAAAGAGGGCTATATGGACCAGTTCAAGAAATATTCAAATGGCCCATTCAACACTGCCCCGATGTTCTTGTATTAGCGTTATTACAAATTAATGCTCCTATTACTATATTGAGACAAGAATTACTTAGTACATTAATGCCTATTTTTCTTGGAAATCATCCGAACTCTGCTGTCATTTTGCATCATGCATGGCACGGTAATGCTGTGAAAATAAAATCTATTATCATGCATGCTATGGCAGAATGGTATATACGTGGAGATCACGACCAAACTAGACTGTCTCGCATTCTGGACGTTGCTCAAGACCTAAAGGCGTTGACTCATTTACTCACTGCCCAGTCGTATCCATTCGTTATCGACTTGGCTTGTTTAGCTTCGAGGAGAGAGTATTTAAAGTTAGAAAAGTGGTTGACGGATAAAATCAGAGAACAAGGAGAAGTGTTTGTTACTGCTTGTGTAAAGTTTTTACAAAGACGGTGCCCGCAAGTGATGGGACCCGGAATCAAGGAAGATCTTACGGTTCCAAAAGCAAGTCAACTTCCTCAAGAAACATTGACAACTATGCTTGCTTGTTTGCAAGTGTGCGCTGGGTATGTATCCTTTGTCCGATTTATTAAGCATGTTAATTATTTAATGTGTTAAATTTCTTTTACAGAGGTGTTTCTCAAGAGTGTTCGGAGGCAATAATGACGATGGTACAAAACTGTAGTCTCATGTTGAGTAAGAGTACAATGAGTAGACCACCGCCGGGAGTTTTAAGACACCGGGCATTAGAGTCTTTTAATCCAGCTACATTAGGAGGACAGGTATATATATCAACAGCGTTGTTTATATGTAATATTTTAATGTTAATACAATACAAAGGACGGCCGAAAGGAGGGTACACGTCGGTATAGGATAATTCCTTATACAAAAATAAATCAAAAGTCGAATACGTATGTTCGTCCTAGCAATAAGGAGAAACAAAATGCAATGAACAGATGTGTTATCCAAGTCTTATTCAGTTGCACCCGTATCCAGCAGATTTTTAAATTTGATTGTCTCGAAAACGAAGTCTTTGATGAAAAAACTTTTGTTTTTTATGTTTGCGTAAAGGATCACCTCTTGCCAGCTTGTACCATTCTTTTGGTTGCACCTTATATACATATATATATATTTACACAATAGCACACTTTATTAATTTTTTTTTAGCTATTTTCTTCAAAACAAGTGGACCCACTTGGAAATTTAAGTTCAAGTCTTGCGTCTATGAGTTTGGGATCTAGTCTTGGCCCTCCAAGCAGTTCCGC